CCCCCCACAGAAAAATGTATTTTATGTCTCTATCTATCTATCTACCTTTCCAGAAACTCGATCCTAAATCTCTCTCTTCCCTTAACCTGTTGGGCCAATATCCTTGCCGGTACTTTAAATATCAGTCGTGTCGCGTCAGTACAAATTATTTCATTTAAAATATTTCCCGGATTTCTTGAATTGTAAGTTTTCAACATTTAAGAATTCACGGCTTTAATCGTTTTTAACCCATTTTATGCTAAGAATATATTTTATTGACGGATTATACACCCCACACAAGGTTCTCTTTAAACCAGTTCTTCCATGGAAAATTGATTGAGATGGTTTAAAATGTAGAGGTTTCGTGAATATGTTAAGGTTAAAAGCTTATGTCAAATAGTAGAATGTCGTATTGCAACTCTTAGGCCGTTTCTTTTGCGAATAAGGATCGTGCTAATAATATACTTGGAGGGACGAAAGTTTGACCGCTATATGTCTCACGTGAGATTGTTATCTAATAGATTGATAATAAGGACGTACACAGTCGGAGACGTCAACTGGTTGATCATAGTAGAGTTGGAAAGACAGGGCCCATAGAGTAATTACTCTATGACAGGGCCTCCAGTTCAAAACGTTAAAAGTTTACTAAAAAGCTTGGTGGTTATGAAAAACAAGATAAGATGTGTGATCGCATGGACAAATAATGGTAAGCTTTGAAACCTGGAAACGAAGGGGCCGGTTTGATGGATGGAAGATGGAGAAAAAAGATCACAAAAGACCGGAAAGATCGTTAAGAAAAGAATTTTTCCTAATAGGTTTTATTTACCTTACAAAGAGAGCTAAAGAAAAAAGAGAAAATATAGAAAAAGATAAAACAGAGAAGAATAAAGAATTATGATCAGAGTAGAAAGAGAGAGGGGGTGAAAGGTGGAGTAAAGAGAGAAGAATTAAGAATTATGATCAGATTTGAAAGAGAGAGGGGGTGAAAGGTGGAGTAAAAGGGGAAGAATTAAGAATTACGATCAGAGTAGAAAGAGAGAGGGGGTGAAAGGTTGAGTAAAGGGAGAAAGAATGGAAGTAAAGGACAGAGAAAATGACGGCATAGGAGAGGAATGCTTGACAAGGGATGATAAAAAAAAGATAAAAGGACGAAGAAATATAAGGGAAATAGGAGGACAAAAAGCAAAGAAGAAAAGAGAGTGGAAAAAGAGAAAGAACAAAAGAGGGAGGACACATGAGAAAAAAGAATGCATTAGCAGATAGGACGAAGAATGAGTGAGGATTTTGAGAGAGAGTAGAGAAAGAGATGAAGGAGTGGGGGAAAGATAGAGGGGTTGGAGCAGAAGAGAGATTGTGGAGAAGAGGAGCAAAATAGGAGATAAAGCGGAGAAAGGGAATGAGGATGGAAAAATAGGAAGAATGAAGAAGGAGAGAGAGCGGAGAAAGAAATAGAAAGTAAAAGAAGAGATAGGACGGATAAGGTGAAATAGAAGAGATAGAGAGGGGGCGAAGAAGGAGATAGAGCGGAGAAAAAGTGAGGACGGAGAAGGAGAGAAATCGTAGAAGGAGTGAGGACGGAGAAGGAGAGATATCATAGAAGGAGTAAGGACGGAGAAGGAGAGAGATCGTAGAAGGAGTGAGGACGGAGAAGGAGAGAGAGCGAAAAAACGAAAAAGAGCGTACAAGGAGTGAGGTTGGAGAAGGAGAGGTCGGAGAAGGAGAGAGGACGGAGAAAGAGAGAGCTCCGATGTATAAAAGAAATGAATGTCTGTTCAAAGATCTGTTCATCCAGATACTAGCTTTCATTCAGATCTCAACCAACATACAAGAGCTTTAACTTTACTTTTACATAAACCAGGTTCGTTATATTAAGATCTTATTAACTTTTCTCTCTATAAATATTAAAACAACATAAACACTAAACACAACTTTCTCTCATATTTGAAATTTTTTTATCTATATATTTATATATATACTAGGCTATTAGGGCGCTTCGCTCCAATCATCTATTTCAACTGTGAACATTTTCTTTTTGTGTACATTTATAAAAGATTCTCTAGTTTTTTAAAAATATAATTTTGATGAAGGACAAATTTAGAAAATTTGATCATTCATAAACCTTCCCTGGGATCCCGCTAGGTCCCACAAAAAAATTTGGGACCGATGTGTTCAGCCGTTTTGACGTTTATTGGATACAAATAAACAGACAGACAAGCAAAGTATATACATTTATAAGTAGTAATTTCTGTTTGTCTGTTTATGCGTGTGCCTGATCATAACTTTTACATGAAAATCTCAGTTTTCAGACAAAGTTGGGTTCCCAAAATAGAAAGTATTTATAACAATGTTATTTTGTTTCTCAAAGCTATTATAGAGTTTTTGAAGGGCATGTTTTTTATCGAGAAGGTTCAAGCTTTTTAGATAATATATTGCACAATGATTACTTTATAAAACATTCATAAAATATAACATAACGTTAGCATGAATAATAAAAGTACACAATAGTTTCAAAAATAATTTTCAGACGCTAGAGATAGATCATGAAACTGATTTGTTTGGTCTTGCTTATAGCATCTGCAAACTCTTTTATATCAGGTAATAAAAAAGCTAGGTCAGAGTTAGGAACTCATGAATGAAAGGTAGTTGAATTAGGTACAACTGGTTCAATTTCTATTCTTGTGCCGGCGAGCTGACTGTGAACCAAGTTACTGATTAATCTCATTTGAACCTTTCTCCGACTGTAAACCCAGCTTTTATACAGCTAGGCTAGGTTGTACTTTATAACAAGCTATGAGACGGCAAAACAGGATAGTGAACCAAATGAAGCATCTCCTTCTAGAGAGATTAATTTAACAAGGACCTGGGCCTTACATGTTTGATTTCTACATTTTTAATTCAATCACATTTACATCTATATATTTCAACAATCTTTAGACTTACAGACATGTCTTCTTAAACGTTTTTATTTAATATCATAGAGAATAGAATATATAGAGAGGAATTTACTAGAAAAATGTGTAAAACGGCCATTTTGTTGTACTGTTTCCATACTGCAGGTGTACTTCACATATTTATGCTATATAACCTGTTGGGCCCTGGAATATCATTTTATAGAAAATCTAAAATTATTGTTAAAAGAAAACCAAATTATGAAATAGGCTGGTTTCATAATTGACCACTGATCATTTCACATTTTCCGTTATAACTATAATTCAAATGATGTTTTTATTCACCTAATTCATTATAAAGTTTATTTAACAGTTTAAAAAATTCGAAATTGAAATGGATAGTCTAGGGAACATACTGTATTAATGTACTCTACTGCATATAATTTGTGAACATTTACATGATTTGTACACTTTGAACTCCCTTGCAGGCTGAAAGGGACTGAAAAAATTCATACCGAGAGATTCTTTTAATTCGTCTCTATATATTCTATTCTCTATGTTTAATATGCATCCATCGACAAACAAACATATTGAATAAATAAGTCGAATTAGATAAATAAGTCAAATTAGATAGATAAGTCTAGTTAGATAAATAAGTCAAATTTTGGGTTCGAAAATCACAGTTTGCTGGAACAAGGACCGAAAAGTTAAGTCAGTGAGCTGGGATCAGCAAGGCAAGGTTAACGTTAAAGGGAGTGTTCGTGAAAAATGAAAGGGGGTATAGGCTTAATGCGATAAAAAGCGCTTTTTATCGCTACTAATCTTACTTCTATCTGTTGCGTCTATAAGGAGAAAATTGTTAAAGACGTCTCATAACGAAAATACATTATCACGTAAATGAACAGATAGTAAAATATAAAGATATTACTTTTCATTTATCAGTTAAAACTTTTGATAGATTTCTTCTGTAAAAAGTTAAGAACAAAAGATATGTATCAAAAATAAATTTCATCTGAAAGCAATATCGTGTCATTTCTTACCAAGGAAGATATAAACAGGAATCCCCTTGGAATACAATAGGTGTAGACTGTAGATCTTAGATTAAGATTGCAGACCACATTTTTGAAAACTACAATCAAATTAGCCATTCAATGAATTGTATAAAAGTTAGCATGAAGCATAAAGGAACTCCAAGTCTGAAATTAGAACCTAAATATAATGTTTTTTTTTCTAGGGTTTTCAATCCTTCAATTTAAGAATTAAAGAAAACGTTACCAATAATTTTTATTGGATTTAAAATTTTTTTTTGACAAAAAATCAAGTTTTTTTGTTTTTCATTTGTATTTCAGTTCGGAACATGAACTATATGGACAAGTTTGAGCATGATCCTAAAGAAATGAGGGATCTTTACCACATTCCATATCAGGTAAGACGACAACAAAACAAAGAATTTTACGAATGTCGTCTTTAACATTTCTCCCTGCCCCAAACTTCAATTTTGTAGCATCAAAAAAGAAAATGTATCTTGCATTTTTTACGATTTCGATGATTAGACAAAATTGAAGGGGCCGCGGGGGGGGGGGGAGTTAAGGAATCGTTTTTAGGATTATACACTACAGAGCTTCCAATATCATTTTAGATTATTTCCAAGCTTCAACGCCATTACGCACATAATACTACAAAAACCTAGCATTTTCTGCATACACATTTTGATATTATTCTTACATAATTGTTTTAATGGCTCATTCTTTCCAAATTTTCTTATTAGTACCGAAAATCGCAATTTAGAGCTATAAACAATCTGATATGATGTGGGACACCCTATTTCAAAAGTTGCTAAGATTTAAAATTGAGAAATCATTTTGTATTTCAGGGACGTACTCGGTACGGGAATTCTTTACGGACTGGGAAACCAGTTTGGGGAAAAGCAGCGAGGAACAATAACAGACTTGCTATTGTTAGAAAGCTAAGAAGGTACAGTCTGTCCACCTAAACATGACAGTACAAAGACGACTTTGTTCTTGTTTAATTATCTGTCAAACCTAATTTAAAATGATCTTTAGAACAACTCTCTCAGTTACGTCATATTTTCAGTTAAAAAGACTTGCTGAAGGGCACGAGCCAAGATAATCTTAGTAAGCAATAGTTAAATGAAATCTATTCTTCATCAAAATTTATTATCAGTTAATTTGGGCTCCGGTCCTCCAGCAAATGTTATTAAAAATTCTTAGCCATCGATAGTTCATTTTCATTTTAAAAAACAAGAATGGTTTTAATGTATTTACTAATTTCCCGTGTGTATTTATTGTTACAAACATTAACTAATTACGTACATGCTTAATTGTTTAATTTACTGTTGGGGCTTTACACTTTAAGATACTTTATTTGGAATTATATAAAATATAAAATAATGCTTTGTTCTTTAAAAGAAAATGAGTGGATTTTTTTCTTTAAAAGTTGATAAAATTGCAGCATACTACTTTTTCGAAAAAATACTCTGCAGTTCCCTAGTTCCCTCGACCAAACTGTCCTGTAAAACATCCCTGGTTCCCTCGACCATTCTGTCCTGTAAGACATTCCTGGTTCCCTCGACCAATCTGTCCTGCAAAACATCTCTGGTTCCCTCGACCATTCTTTCCTGTAAAACATTCCTGGTTCCCTCGACCAATCTGTCCTGCAAAACATCTCGTGTTTCCTCGACCATTCTGTCCTGTAAAACATTCCTGGTTCCCTCGACCAATTTGTCCTGCAAAACATCTCTGGTTCCCTCGACACTTCTGTCCTGTAAAACATCTCTGGTTCCCTCGACAAAACTGTCCTGCAAAACATCTCCATGGTTCCCTCGACCAAACTGTCCTCCAAAACATCTCGTGTTCCCTCGACCAATCTGTCCTTTAAAACATCTCTGGTTCCCTCGACCAAACTGTCCTGCAAAACATCTCCATGGTTCCCTCGACCAATCTGTCCTGTAAACCATCTCTGGTTCCCTAGAACTATCTGTCCTGAAAAACATCTCTGGTTCCCTCGACCAATTTGTCCTGTAAAACATCTCTGGTTCCCTGGAACTAACTGTCCTGAAAAACATCCCTCCGTGTATGGCTTCGAAACTTTTAAAAACTTCCCTGTAAACTTTATTTTCACGATCAAATTTTTTCCCATAAAAAGTTGAAATGTTTATTTTTTTCAGTGATCTAGAGGCAAACCAGGACCAGCAACTGATAGACAGGGTTCTGCAAAAACTTAGGAAACATGATAATTTATAAAATTTGAAGATCAATTTTTAATGAAATAAAGAAAAGATTTTTTAGAAATGTTTATATTCAAATGTTTAATTTATGAAATTTCTTTAGAAGGTCTATTCAAATGGCCATTGAAACATTTAAATATGTTACATGCAAGTTTCACGACATCACCCTATAACCCTTTCCATGAGGAAACATTTTCGAGTTATCCAAATTTTCTACATCAAATGAATTGTGGATTTTTGCAGCAAAGACAATAAAAAATGACATAATTCGCTGAAAACTCGAAATACTAAACTCTAGAAAATATTTTGCCCCTTCCGTTAAAAAATGTAAATAAAAAAAGTTATCAGGTTTTATAAAGTCTTTAAATGGCTCTAAAGGTAATTATCATCCAACCTCAAAGTCTAGTGTTATAAGAGACCAGCCAAGAAATGGATTTTCCTAAAGTAAGAAGACGACATTTGAAAGCAGCCCCGCACCCAACACTTATGTGTATTGTTTTGACTCTTGTGAAAGTTTAGACGTTAGAAATAAATTTTTGATATTCTCTGATAAATAAGTTCAGCAACTTTACGATTTCAAAGATTTTTGCAGTGCAGAAAACACAAATATAACAAATTCCTGTAAATGCCCCTGAAGTACAAATATTAATATTATAAGTGGGAGTGGGACCTCACATGACCCAAGGGAACGTTTTAAAAATCAAAATTGGGAAAACTGTCAAATCCAGAAAAATATTTGGAATTTTTTTCTTGAAAATGCGCCCATTTGAAAATAAAAATCCGCCAAAACTTGAAAATGATTTTAAATGGCCGACTTTCAGAGCAAAAGTTAAAAGCTAAAATTATTCCCTGTAAATACGAGATTCAGTAATTTTTATGTTTTCGTAACCTTATTCGATGTTTTATAACATCCTGTTTAACCAGTCGCTTTAACACCAACTTATCAAGTAAAATTGGTTTGTCTGCACTGCACAATTGTTAAAATTTATGTTAAAGACCATTTAAACCATAACATAATTGTGTCTAAAAGTCGTCTTCGTATTCCAAAGTTTTATGGTTCTAATTTTATAGGATATAAAACTTAATGTTAATACCCTATATTCGTAAGTTTAGGTAAATGTTGTGAGCTAAACCTTGAAAAATATTGAAGGTTGTTGTGGTTAAAGATATATTCAGGATTTATAAAGATAAGGATGAAGATGTATCTGAGTTTAAACCTGATCTGTCAGAACCTAAACTTTAAAACATTACTCCTTCACGCTCTAGTCATTAGAACTATCACGGTTTCAGACCTTACAGGACTTATTCTTCATTACTTCCATCCTTACAGTCTTTACAGGACTTATACTTCATTACTTCCATCCTTACAGTCTTTACAGGACTTATACTTCATTACTTCATCCTTTTACTTCTTTACAGGACTTATACTTCCATACGTCACCCTTCATTTCTTTGCAGGACTAATACTTCCTTACTTCACCCTTTTTTTCTTTACAGGACTTATACTTCTACTTCATCCATTTACTTCTTTACAGAACATATACTTCATAACTTCATTTTTTTACTTCTTTACAGGACTTCTACTTACTTACTTCACCCTTCCTTTCTTTACATGACTTATTCTTCCTTACGTCATCTTTTTGCTTCTTTACAAAACTTACACTTCATTACTTCATTCCTTCCTTTCTTTACAGGACTTATACTTCCTTACTTCATCCTTTTTTTCTTTAAACAACATACACTTCCTTACATCACCCTTCTCTTCTTTACAGGACTTATTCTTTCTTCCTTCACCCTTCCCTTCCATAAAGGACTTATACATCCTTCCTACACCCTTCCTTTCATTACAGGACTTACACTTTCTTACTTCACCTTTCCGTTCTTAACAGGACTTAAAATTCCTGAGTTCATCTCTTTACTTCTTTACTGTGCTTTCACTTCTTTCGTAATTCCTTTATTTCTGTACAGGACTTATACTTTCTTCCATCATACCTAATCTTTTTTACAGGACTTATACTTCATTACTTCTATCTTTACAGTCGTTAAAGAACTTCCTTATTTCATCCCTTCAAATTTGGTTCAATTTGGAACTAACTTGGATAAGATTGAGGCTTTATAACTTGGACCAGGTTGAAGAGAACTACTTGGATCAGGTTGAAGTGAACTAACTTGGACCAGGTTGAAGAGAACTAACTTGGACCAGGTTGAAGTGAACTAACTTTGACCAGGTTGAAGAGAACTAACTTGGATCAGATTAAGGAGAACTAAGTTGTATCAGGTTGAGGAGAGCAAACTTGGATTAGGTTGAGGAGAACTAACTTGGATTATGTTGAGGAGATTTAACATAGATCAGGTTTAGGAGAACTAACTTGGATGAGGTTGAGGAGAACTAACTTGGATCATGTTGAGGAGAAATAACTTGGATCAGGTTGAGGAGATTTGACATAGATCAGGTTTAGGAGAACTAACTTGGATCAGGTTGAGGAGAACTAACTTGGATCAGGTTGAGGAGAACTAACTTGGCTAAGGTTGAGGAGAACTAACTTAGATCAGGTTGAGGAGACCTAACTTGTATTAGGTTGAGGAGAACTAACTTGGATCAGATTGAGGAGAACTAACTTGGATCAGGTTGAGGAGACCTAACTCGGATTAGGTTGAGGAGAACTAACTTAGATCAGATTGAGGAGAACTAACTTGGATCAGGTTGAAGAGAGCTAACTTGGATCAGATTGAGGAGAACTAACTTGGAAAAGGTTTAGGAGAACTAACTGGGATCAGGTTGAGGAGACCTAACTTGTATTAGGTTGAGGAGAACTAACTTGGAGCAGATTGAGGAGAACTAACTTGGATAAGGTTGAGGAGAACTAACTCGGATTACGTTGAGGAGAATTAACATAGATCAGGTTTAGGAGAACTAACTGGGATCAGGTTGAGAAGAACTTACTTGGATCAGGTTGAGGAGACCTAACTCGGATCAGGTTGAGGAGACCTAACTTGGACCAGATTGAGGAGATCTAGCTTAGATAAGGTTGAGGAGACCTAACTTGGATCAGGTTGAAGAGGGCTAACTTGGATCAGATTGAGGAGACCAAACTTGTATTAGGTTGAGGAGAACTAACTTGGATCAGATTGAAGAGAACTAACTTGGATCAGATTGAGGAGAACTAACTTGGATAAGGTTGAGGAGAACCAACTTAGATCAGGTTGAGGAGACCTAACTTGTATTAGGTTGGGGAGAACTAACTTGGATCAGATTGAGGAGAACTAACTTGGATCAGGTTGAGGAGACCTAACTCGGATTAGGTGGAAGAGAGCTAACTTGGATCAGATTGAGGAGAACTAACTTGGATCAGGTTGAGGAGAGCTAACTTGGATCAGATTGAGGAGAACTAACTTGGATCAGGTTGAGGAGACCTAACTCGGATTAGGTTGAAGAGAGCTAACTTGGATCAGATTGGGGAGAACTAACTTAGATCAGGTTGAGGAGAACTAACTTGGATCAGGTAAAAGAGAACAAACTTTTATTAGGGTGAGGAGAACTAACTTGGATCAGGTTGAGGAGACCTAACTTGGATTAGGTTGAAGAGATATAACTTGGATCAGGTTGAGGAGAACTATCTTTGACCAGGTTGAGGAGAACTTACTTGGATCAGATTACAGAGAACTAACTTGGATCAGGTTGAAGAGAACTAACTTGGATCAGGTTGAGGAGAACTTACTTGGATCAGGTTACAGAGAACTAATTTGGATCAGGTTACAGAGAACTAACTTGAACTAGGTTGAGGAGAACTAACTTGGATCAGGTAAAAGAGAACGAACTTTTATTAGGGTGAGGAGAACTAACTTGGATCAGGTTGAGGAGACCTAACTTGGATCAGGTTGAAGAGATATAACTTGGATTAGGTTGAGGAGATATAACTCAGATCAGGTTGAGGATAACTAACTTGGATCAGGTTGAGGAGAACTAACTTGGATCAGGTTGAGGAGAACTAACTTGGATCAGGTTGAAGAGATATAACTCAGATCAGGTTGAGGAGAACTAACTTGGATCAGGTTGAGGAGAACTAACTCGGATCAGGTTGAGGAGAACTAACTTGGATCAGGTTGAGGAGAACTAACTCGGATCAGGTTGAGGAGAACTCACTTGGATCAGGTTGAAGAGATATAACTCAGATCAGGTTGAGAAGAACAAACGTGGATCAGGTTGAGGAGAACTAACTCGGATCAGGTTGAGGAGAACTAACTTAGATCAGGTTGAGTAGAACTAATTGAAGCGAATAATCTGGTCCATAAACTAAAAATCTGGTGTTTCCGTAAAACCTTCAGAAGATATGATAAATGAAGGAGAGAAGTGAAGAAGACAAATGAATATTGTGGCAGGAGAATAAATCTGAATAGATATATTCAAATTAGGTAGTTTATGTATGGAAGCTAACTTGGCCCTGGGTCAGGGAAGTCTCAGCTTTAATTGAGAGCATGGAGAATTTGAATAGGGTGGAGGCATTTATTCTACTCTATATAGATCAGGATATATCTATTATTCAAAATATAGATCAGGAGATATTTATTATTCAATTTATAGAACAGGAGATATTTATTATTCAATATATAGAACCAGAGATATTTATTATTCATTATATAGAACAGGCTATATTAATCATTCAATATATAGATCAGGAGATATTTATTATTCAATATATAGAACAGGAAATATTTATTATTCAATATATAGAACAGGAGATATTTATTATTCAATATATAGATCAGAAAATATTTATTATTCAATATATTAAACAGGAAATATTCATTATTCAATATAAAGAACAGGAAATATTTATAATTTAATAACTAGAATAGGAGGTATTTATTATTGAACATATAGAACAGTAGATATTCATTATTCAATATATAGAACAGGAGATATTCATTATTAAATATATAGAACAGGAGATATTTATAATTCGATATATAGAACAGGAGGTATTTATTAGTCAATTTTAAGAACAGGATATATTCATTATTCAATATATAGAAAATTAGATATTCATTATTCAGTATATAGAACAGGATATATTCATTATTTAATATATAGAGCAAGAGATATTCATTATTCAATATATAGAACAGGAGATATTCATTATGCAATATATAGAACAGGAATAATTCATTATGCAATATATAGAACAGGAGATAATCATTATTTAATATATAGAGCAAGAGATATTCATTATTCAATATATAGAACAGGATATATTCATTATGCAATATATAGAACAGGAAATATTTATAATTCAATACATAGAACAGGAGGGAATTATTATTCAATATATAGAACAGGATATATTCATTATGCAATATATAGAACAAGAGATATTCATAATTCAATATAGAGAACAGGAGGTAATGATTATTAAAATATAAAGAACAGGAGATATTCATTATGCAATATATAGAACAGGAGATATTCATTATTCAATATATAGCACAGGTGATATTCATTATGCAATATATAAAACATGATATATTCATAATGCAATATATAGAACAGAAGGTA